GGGTATTTGCTCAACTCTTGCACTATAGGACCGACCTCGTAATCATTTTGTGCTTGTTATATTTTTCTGCTGTAACTTTTAATACAGTAAGTGTATCTTCATGAAGTTTTCCAGATTATCAGTAAACATTACAAGGCTTTCGTACGCAAAGTATCAGATTTTTTTTATTAAGATTTAAGATTTTTTTAAGTAATGTTTTTCTCGTGTATTTTTTCATTTTGAATGTTTACTATCCAACATGCAAAGTAATTTTGGTTTTAAGATTAAAAATACTTTTATGCATCACTATTGTATCACTGTATGGGTTTGGTTGAGAAAACCACTAGGGGAACATTCTGAGCTTTTAGTTAGTTATACATACGTCATTGTATGATATAGGTGAATATAAGCAAGTATTTTCACAAAAGGGAAGAGGTGGGTTGGGCCACCTTGGTTGATTCAATAAATGTATTAATATCTCAGAAAATAGAAAAAATAGGAGCTTTTTGTCTCAGATTCTAGCATGTCAGTATTGGTAATTTGAGTATCTAATTCATAAAAAAACTATAGACTTTGTATTTGGACATCACAAATATCTAATTTGAACCAATGCTGCATTCATCATACCACATGAGACACAAAAATTGATATTTAGGATTTTTTTTAATTAAGAAACTAACTAATGTATAATACTAAAATTTGAATTATAGTATACAATTTGATACTAAGCTTATTGATGTAAGTTCATAAGATAGTAGTTCAATAAAATTTTGAACGTGAGACTACAAATGCAATGACATGGCCTTTGACCCATGACCATAGGCAGACCTGTGTCGGTAGGGTTAATTACTTGGCCTTATTTAACCAATATACATGGGATTTGATACAAAGATTTGGGTTTTATATATAAACAAAATGTGGGGCTTGCCAATTTTTGTTCATTTTTATGGAGGGGGAGGTCAAAAGGTTAAATAAACACAATTTAGCCCTGTTTTGACCAATTTACATGGAATTTGGTAAAAAAGATACTTTTCTACAGACAAGACGCATTGACAAACAAAAATATTGGACTTGCCCATTTTTAGTAAATATGGAGGGGGTCATAATGCAACATAATTTTAGGGTTCTTTGACAATTACTCCACCATATCGTGGCCAATTTACATGGGATTTAGTACAACGGTACCTTCTTGCAAGTTCAATGCAGCAATTAGACAGTTTTTGATTTTTCTTTGTTTTTTACGGTTTTTCTGGTGTCAAAATTGGCAATGTTGTGATTGTGTGGTGGAGACATATTATATTCACCTCCAAATGATGGCCTATTTATCCATTATCTTCATTATTAATTTTTTGGTTTACATATAATAGATTCCAATATAAACTTTTTTTGACCAATTTGTGTCACTATTTTTCTTAGTTCTTTCCATAGAAACATCATTTTTTGCACATGTTATGAGTTTTTTACTGAGTTACATTCAAAATTTGATTAAACTACTTTATCATGATATATAAATAAACTTGGAAAAAAAATGAAAAATCATAATGAAAAAAAAAATCCATTAAAGGTATTTTTAGGGAGCCACAGTTGGTAGAGCTGTGTGTAAGTGCTAGAATTTGACTTTGCAACATGATAGATCTTTATATGAAGAAGCTTTAGCTCAACAGTACATTATTGCATATTATAAGTACATCATGTCTCGAGTAAATTCTTTAATTCACTCTAAAAATGACAGACAAATGTTTTTATTTTTAATTTCAACAAAATTGTAACATATTGCATATGTGTATAAAGTAATGAACAGTGAGAGGAATTGGGTTTATTATGAACCTTAATAATATTATAGTATTAACTTTTTCTGTAAACACGATATCTCAAAGATCACAAGAAAATCGTTGTACTTTAATTCGGCTACAATATGGCCATCTTCATTCAGTTAAATCTGATAGTTTGAAGACAATTTTATGACTACAAAGTAGTATTTATTCTCTAATGCAATATTTTTTTCTCAAGATGCACCACTTGACTTGGATGATTTTACTGGTGTAAAGAAGAAGAAAAAGAAGAAGAAAGTATTTGGTCTAGATGAGTTAGAGAGTGCACTTCCTGTAAGTTTTGTTAATTTTTTTTAGATGGTTGGTTGAAAATATATTGAATATTGCAACTAAAATGTAATATTTTGTTGAATGAATGTTTATAAAAAATCTGTTCTCTTGTAACTTTTTATCTGTGTTACTTCATTTGAAATTATCTGAGGTATTCTTATGATTAACAATGAAACAATATTAAAGTGTTTATGGTTTTTTGTATGCTATATTCTTAATTTTGAAATAGTTATTTCACTAAATAGAACTTTTTATAAAGTTCCTTTACTATTTTTGCAGGTTTTTTTGCTAAAGCTAGTTTTTTAACTGACTATAGAAATGAAGAAAAAAATTCCATCAATTTGATCATTTATAAAACTGAAAGCATTATATCATTTCAATTCAATTAATTCACCTATCTTAAGGAAAGTTTTTCTTAAATCCAATCCTTTTGAGACACTTCAGTGATAAAAATAAATATGAAGAACTGAATGCTTTAAAGATAAGTTATATTTTGTGAATTCTGAGATGATGACTTACCTTCGTACACAGAAATACAATTTTCTCTGTGCAACTGCCAATGAGATTTGGATGGCACTAACCTTGAGGTAACTCCCACCTAAATTTACATGAATTGCATTGGTGCATGATGACATCATCAGATGACAAAAGCCTTCCACCAATAGGGTGTAGTATCTCCCCCTATATGTATGCACTTGTGATAAGATCATTCTTTCCCTTGGCATTATACAACACAGATGTGTTCAAAGTTTATCAGGCTTCAATTTGATGAATTGTGTGTTTGTTAATGAAACTTTGCTTTTTGTTTTATTTCAATTTTGTTCCAAAAGCTATAATTTTTGTCATGAATTCTAAAGTAAAGGTGACTTCTACTTAGTCCTATGTGAGTTTTAATGTTACATACACATGTATTATTTACACTGTGGCTTCTGGAGGCTCATAAGCTGTTAGGGACATTCCAACCCATACTACTTCTGGTGTTCCCTTACCAACTCCCACACTGTATCTTTCTCTTCACTTATGTTTCCCTCTTGGATTGAGGCACATCTCTGAACAAAGAGATGACTTCTGGCATTTGTATGGAGGACAGGTGCCTACTCCATCTCAATGTACTTGAACTCCCTGCTGATTGTCAGGCATGTTGCCATTTCCTGCCCCTTGTAACAGACCAATAGGTCATAATCCACTATGACATATCAACAGTTGTTTCTTATGTTTCATCAGGGGGCCACCCATTCCAGAACCTTTGTTTTTGGGAGTTGGACCTACTCTTCTGGAATCATTCACATTGAGTTCTTGTTGCATGCTATTTAAATGGGACTATGTACTTTGTGGTAAACTGCCTCTCTCTCGCCCAGAGTACATTTGATCCACAGAATGATCACTTCACCCTAGGTCTTTTGTTGGGTTTCCTTTCGGTTGGATATGCTCATCTTAGATACCTTTACTATCACTTTTGACTTCAATATGTCTCTCTTCATGTCCCCTGTTCTTCATCCTTTGACTCTGGCTGTTTAAGCTGTCAGCCATGGCTGGTCTCACCTTTTTCTATATGCCTATCCTCCTCTTTCAGTCCTCCCTTGGATCATCAACTGGATACATCACACTCATTCACAAATCCTACTGTGGCACCTCTTTGGCCACCTCAACCTTGTTGTCCTCTGCTTCTTCATTTGGTGTCAGACATTCCCCTTCATGTACCCAATCTTCCCTCACTCTTACTTCAACCTCATACATCCATTTTTTTAGTCACAGGTTGTCATTAATTTATCTTCATGTGGATGATTTGTTTGGTCCACTGCCTGTTGGGCAAGACTCTCCTATTGTGTAACCTTATTCTTGTCACATTCCTATCTCCTTTCCACTTTGTTTGTCTATTTACAACAGTGGTGGTCTTTTATCATTTATTGATCTGCCAGTCCTTTCCTCCCGGCCATCCTACTGTGCTCCCTTTTTTTTTTTATTTGGCTGTTCAACCATGGTTTACCTGTCTCTGCCATTGTTGATTATTGAGTGGTGTTGTCCACTGCATTTCACCTTTCCAAATACCACATGGTGTTTTCATCCTCTGTTCTCTCCACTCTTTCCTTCTTTACCATCCTCCTTGCCCAACTTCCATGCCTACCCAGGTCCATAATTTAGTTTGCATGCTCATTCAAACTGTTACTTCTTACCTTCTATACCACCTTTCTTTTACATCTTATTTCCTCCTTCTTATTTGTCTGTTGTCACCATCATTCTGTTATTTATGCATTTGATACCTTCTTCCACCACACTTATATACTCCTCTACCCAGAGTGTTATCCCTTCTTCAAATTTCTGCTGCTCATGTGGTTAACTGTCCTTTTTCTTCTGTTTCTCTTCCTTCTATCTTTCACCTCTGTGATCATTCAAGCCCTGATTGGCTCTCGTATTCTGTTTGATGATGCTTATCACTGACTTCTTCTTTTGCCATCTTCAGCTTCTATCCTGCAACTCCTCTTCTTCCAGGGACCTCTCTTCCTTACTGGATGAGTTTTTTGGCTCTTACAAGTGGTTTATTTATATGTGGATGCTCACAGATTATTTCACATTTCTTTTTCTTATTTGCCATCTTACCAGACCTGGGACAAGATCCTCTTGGTGGGCACTTCTCTGGGTCTCCCTAATGCTAATCCTTCACATACACTTCTTCGAGTGGAGTATGGAAGACCCTTGCCACTTACCAGTTCCTAGCTCCTGGGGTGATGGACCATGGAAAATCCTTACCAATTGGGCTTAGTGCAAGCAATATAGTGAGAAGTGGGGTGGTGTTATCACTGTCAGTGTATTACAGGTCTTTTCTGTTTTGACTCATCAAAAAAATTATGTTATGATGAATGCAAATGCATAGGGGTAGTTACTGCACGTGGAGGTTGTATTGTCCTTCTTTTGATGGTGGTCTTTCGTAGCATGATGATGTCATCATGGAACAGCACAGTTCATGTTTAATACATGAATTTAGGTTGCAGTTACCTCAAGGTTGGAAGCATGCAAATCTCATAGACAGGTGTGTGAGTAAGATAGTGTTTCTACATGTAGGGGTGAGTATATATTGAAAATACATTATAATGTTCTAATTCTTTTGATGTATCTTTTCATATAAAGACATACTGTTGCAATGCTATTTTTGGATGGGTTCTCTTTGGATTATTTGGTATAGTATAAAGAAGAAAAGTCCAAACCATATAATAATAATAATAATTAAAGCATTTTGTTTCTTTACCCATGGAGATTACAAGTATAACTTTACAAGTTCCATGTAACTAAAGAAAGCGCTAATTTCACAAATAAGTTATGCCTTAATATAAATTTTAATTACTAACATTGTCGCACTTATGGTTTTTATCATAGCCCTAGTACTTTGTGGAATCAGTCAGTAATCTCTCCTAGTCCTACCTAGTTCACATTTCATATAATTCAATTAATATCCTAAATTATCAAGAAAATCCCAGATTTTAAACAATGTGCTGTTCATGTGATGTAAAAACTATTAGGTTAATGGTAGTACAAACACCTAACTTAAAAATATGGTCTATAGGAATACTTGAATTTGTCTATGCACCTAAGTCAATTAAATGAAAGAGGATTTTAAGATCACTTCACATTAAACTTTAATGGTTTAGTTTCTTTGTATTCTAGAATTTAGAACCAAAAGAAGAACAAATTCATCAAGTTAGTGAAGAAAAAGATGATGATCTTGGTGGGTTGGATGAAGATCTTGACTTCAGCTTACCAAAGAAGAAGAAGAAAAAAAAGAAGATTTCTTTTGATGAACTAGAAGTAGACTCTTTCCCTCAGGATGAAGATGAAGACACAGAAACAACATTTGGTAGGTGCATATAAGTGTTTGTTCTGTTAGATAATATATGATTAAGAATTAACAAGCTTGACAATTAACTCATTACTAAGTTCTCCTAACTGCCCAGTCTAGTCAAAACCCTTTACATTATTATAAGTTTAGAAAAAATCTTTTTTTTTTAAAACTAGGAAATAGGCAAAGTCACTTATCAGACCACTGACAGAAATATGTGAATGATTTAAGTTACAGAAATATTGAAAATAAAATATAACTTAAATACAAAACTTCCAGGAATCAAAACAATACTGAATGCTTTGCTCACTTTTATACACTGAAAATTAAAATTCAGAGCAATAATAACAAATTACCTTATCACTTAAATAAACGTAACATTCCCACAAAATCCTTGAAAAAAAAATTCCAATGTTCTCACAAAATGGCTAAAAGAAAATCATATAACTAAAATCAACTTTTGATACTTGAGGTGGGCAGAAGACAGATAGTTTATTGTGTAGCTTTATGTTTTACAGCAAACAAACTGAATACTTGAAATAATCAGAAACACTAATTTTGATTAGTTGATTGTTGTCATAAAAATAATTAAGCTGAAAAACTTGATCAAAATTAATAATGAAAATTTATTTCCAAGTGACTTTTGAAAGTACTAGATATAAAAATTGCATTAATCAGTATTTTTTTTATAGTTCATTAAAACTCTCAGAAAATAAAAGAAATGAAACATATTTTATTTGTATAACTTTCTTTTTGAATTTTTTGAGCCTGTGTAATAGTCAAGTGATGTGCAAATTATATTATCTTTACAAGTTTTAAAATATTTTGGAATTTTTTTATATTAAATAACAAATGAAGGTTTTTGTTAAATATTTTCATTATTGTTATAAGAAATTTTTAGTGCCTGTATTTTTTATAACTTGCTTCATTGCTGATTTTAAATATTTTACAACATAATTAGAACTTGAAGGAGAGACAAAGACATCCACTGTGGCAGCACCTGGTCTATGGATAGGAACAGATAGAGATTATACTTATGATGAGGTAAATATATTCATTTTTTAGTTGTATGCCTGTTAATTTTGTAAATCACTGGTTTTGAAAAGTAAAAAACTGTTTGGCCCTAAAAGCAGGATATATATATATATATATATATATATATAGTAGATATCAGATCCTCTATAATTCCATCTAAAAATTCTAATGAATTCTTAAAACATAGAGAAATATCTTTGGAAAATCAAGTGTAAACACTTTAGTTTGTACTTAAGATATGTTCTAGTGTTTTCTAATCTGGTGTATCATGTTCAAATCTGTATAAGTATACTCTGTTTTAGTTTAGTCATTGGATGTGTAACACAATAAAATGTAAATATTAAGTAGTGATTTTCTTCTGATGTTTCATATTTAGTCCTACTTGATAACACACTTTTATTCCCTCAGTGGAGAAGAGCATTCACAAGAGGTTTTGACTCTGTTTATAAGGTGCTTATATTTTATTGAATTCTTTGTAAATATTTATTTTTTATATATAAAACAAACTTCTTGTCTTCTTCAGCTTTTAAACAGAGTTTTCAATATTATGAGGGAAAAGAATCCAGATATGGTCGCAGGTGAAAAACGGCGATTTGTCATGAGGCCACCTCAAGTTATCAGAGTTGGAACAAAAAAAACATCCTTTGCTAACTTCCTGGAGATATGCAAAATGTAAGTGTGTGCATCTATTTAAGTTCAAATTGGATGAACCATTCAGACAACTTGTTTTTGTTTCATTAAAGTTTAAAAAAAACAACTTTATTCCAGTATTCAGGTACTTCTTCAAAAAAGATAATTTAATCACCTTCAAATGATGTTTTATTGTAAAATACTCTACATAACCCTCTGTTTATAGACTCAGTCAAATGAACTGACCTCGTATCTGTGAAGCTATACATAATATTTACTATAGTTCTATACAAGTCTGTTGTACTCAAAAATAGGATTTTTAATAAGGTATTTTTTCTAAAGATTTCTCTCTGAATTTTCAAAGACTTTACTGAACCTGAGTGAATGGTGATTTTCATCCTAAAGATAGGAATACTTTTTTTCATCTTAGAGTGTTCATATTTCATTTGTGTAACCTCCTAGACCTCCTCAATGAATATTCTTCGTTTTTAAACCTTATATTTTATCTCTTAATTTTCTGGCCCGTAAATAATACCATTTCATTTCCTCTACACTGACTGCAGCATTGATTCTATAATAATAATAATAATGATAAAAAAGTGAAAGTTTCAATTTCAACTGTTTTGTTAACTTTTTCATGTCTCTTGTCTGTTTTAATTGCTGTCCTTTGTACCCAGAGAAGTAATTGTCAAAAAGAAAACTAAGTCACAATGGGAGCCTACTAGCTGTAGATCTAATGTAAATAGTGCATAATTGTGAGATTTATTGTTACAGGTTCTGAAAGTCATGAAATTTTAGACATTTTATTTTACTGAAGTTTTGTTAGGCTGAAAAATCATTTCTATCAAGACTTCTGGAACCTACATGTTTTTTCTAACATATAAAGTTACACTTCACTTACTTTGTTAAAAAAATATAATAATAAATAAAATACATGCATAATTTTTTTTTAAATTAGAGTACTTTATTCTTCTTACAGCTCTCTGAAATCAAGTTAAAACTGTAGACATTCTTCCCAAACTACTAAAATTTATCCAGCTTTCTAAGTAATTGATAAATAAGTTTAAAACACGCCTCAAGCACTCGGAGCAACAAGATGTAATATCCACCAATGAAACAGTTCTGCTAACTAATGGTTGGAAAAACTAATTGATAACTCCTATGATTTTTGGGTAAAAGAGATTCTGCTCTTACTAGTGGTTATAAGCATGTCCATCAGCCATGTAAAGTTAATTAATTAACAATCTTGAAAGTCAGAGAGAGTGGTAAGAGGCATCTCTGGTGGGTTTGACAAATTTATTGATATCTCAGAAAATAAAGAAGTTAAAGAGGCTTAAATTGTAGATTATTGCTTGCAATTATATATATATATATATATATATAGTTTGTCTTTGTAATTGGTTGCTAACTACAGATGCCTGTTACTGAAGTTATTATGAAGTTGATAATATGGAGCTCAGGTGCATAATGTGATACAGAAAAATTAACATTGAGAATTTTTTTAAATATTTATTTTTGAAATTGAGAGTTTAAAACTAATATAATAGAAAAACTTGAATTATAAACTGTTTTCTTGCCAATTTATTCATTTAAATTTTGAATTTAACACTGTAGAAGGTTGTGACATGTGCAAAATAACTAAGCCAAGATGCAAACAGTTGGGCAAATCATGTACAGTTAATCCCATAAGTATTGTTGTAGAATGTGACTTTTACAAAACTACTGTTTAATGTAACAGTAAGTTTATATATGTATATATATTGTTTCATTGTTTTATTTTAAAGAAATCTAGCATGAAATGACCAAATAAAAAGTAAACTACAAATATTACTTAATAATAGAGATATTGCTTAGGTTATTATATTTTAAAAGTAAATAAAAATCCAGAACTTGAATTTTATTAGTAATATATTAGTTTATTGAATTCCATGAATTTATGACTGAAACTAAAGAAGAATGTATAACAACAAGTTAACCACACTATGTCTGCTATATCAAGTGTCAATGATGACTTTCAGCCAATATCAGAGCTCGTAAGGCTGACTGGATTATCAAATATGCTTTTTATGTTATCCAGTAGCATGAACAGCTGTTGTGATGGGAACTAGATTAAGTTGGTGATGTGTAATTTTAATCAATTTTATTTAAGTCAATTACAAATTGGTTAGGATGCTCGACTCACAACCTGTATGTTCCGAGTTCGAATCCCTGTTACACTGAACATTCATTGCCCTTTCAGCTGTGGCAGTGTTATAATGTGATTGTCAATTCTACTATTTTTTGGTAAAAGAGTAACCCAAGAGTTGACAGTGGGTGGTGTTGACTAGCTGCCTTCCCTCTAGTTTATCACTGCTAAATTAAGGACAGATAGCCCTCATGTAGCTATGAGCAATATTTGAAACAAAACAAACCATTTACAAATCAGAATTAGGGTAATGATTAATAACCAATTATTATTTATTTAAATTACCATCAATTGTTTATTATTGCTTTTAACTGACTACTTATCACTCAGAAGAACCAGAAAACTAGTCTTGTTCCAAGAGTGAGCTAAGCAACCAGTTTTTTTGGGATGAGATTAAATTAGTAATCTTAAAAACATATAATTGATAGTAGAAAGTATAACAACCTTGAATTTATATGTATTAACCTTTTTCTTCACAGCTTCTAATGTTCTTGTCATTTTCTGCCAGCTTATTACACAATTTGAAGTTAAGTGATTTGCTCAACTCATTTTCATGAGCCTATTGAAGAAAGAAAATTCATTAAAAACAGTGTTTTTTATAAAGCTCCTTTATAAAAAAAACTGTTTTTTATAAAGCTCCTTTATAATTTTCTTTTCATTCATTGGTTCATTATGCACAGTTTTTGATTGCCTTTCTTTCCTGTTCTAAAGTAATTGTGTGTTTAAGTTTTTGACATACTTACATTATAATCCTTTACTGTTTAGGTTACATCGACAACCGAAACACTTACAAGCATTTCTTTTGGCTGAGTTAGGTACCAGGTAAGATGTTGTTCTGCTTCTGTTCCTCCCTGAATGATTACTTTGTTGTTGTTGTTTTTTTCCTTTCAAAATAAAACTGAACATTATAAATCTTGGTGCAATAACAATATTTGTTTCAAATACTTCTGTTTCTTTGATAAGCATTTAGCAGTTGTAAACTTTGAACTTCAGTGATGAAGCTTAGTGAAGGGCTGAAGAATTGAAAACTTGGGATCTAACAAAATTAGAAGATTGTCACTTTAAGTTGTGTACTGAAGTAATGTGTAAACAAATGAAAAATTGATTGTATAAAAGCTTGAAAGAGAAGAAAGTGGCAGGTGATGTGTTTTCCCTATCTGGACATATGAGCACCTTTCGGGTGTTGAGTGCATATATGCATGTCAAATTTCAAAATGTAAATAAAAATAATTCTAACTAAATATTTTAGAATTAATATTGTGGTTTTTTAATATTTATTTACTGTAAATTACACATAGAAATTAAAAAAAAATCAAACTTTGATTTCTGCACACCTCTGAGAAGATCTCATCTCTAAAGAACACAATTGTTTTCTTTTGTTGTTGTTTTTTAGAATTTTTCTGCCCATTCCAAGTAAATGATCATTACAGACAAAGTTTAAATATCATTGGATAAAACAATTTATAAACTGTTTACATCAGAGTAGTGTGAGAAGTAACTTAGTTTTGTGGGAAACTGATTAGATATAGCTCCTGCAGAAAATAACAGAATTCAGTGGAAAGTTTAGAAACTTAAGAACAAACCAAATATGTGGGATTTTTTATAGTTTCATTAGACATTCTTTTCATTCTAGAAAATGTTTTTGTGTTAAATTATATTTATTTGAAAGATACAGAAATTTTCTAGTATGACACGACATCAGGTAAGCCTAGAAAGGTGTAGAGATACATAAAATTACTTATTATTTAATAAAATTAAACTGTTTATGAGAAATAAATTGATCTTGACCAAGAATACTGTTAACAAATATATTATCACCTAGCTCTGACCTGGCATCATTTTGAAAGGTTAGGTCATAGGTCACTGATAAATCTTTGTCAGTTTTTGACATGTTTTTTACAGTTTTTAGTGGGAAGAGATAAATTCTGAAAACATGAAAAAAAGTATCAAAAGAAGTACATTAACAAATATCAATAAAGTTAAAACTGGTTTAATATAGAAAATGGAACTTTTTGATCAAAAATGATAAAATTTATTTTAAGACAAAATTAAGTATTTTTTATGCTTTTTTTCCTATAGTGTTTCACAACAAGATTTTGAAAATTTCACAGTGTAGAAAATAACAGAAAAAAAAAAATAATAAGTTGTAATTTTTTTTAAAAGCTGATACTAGATTGGCCTTTCCACTAAGAAAAACCACTGCTATTAACAGTGATCAGTTACTAATTATTTTATAGGTCACCATGCAAATGAAAAGGACATTGCCTGACACATATTCACTCTTAAATTTTCAACTATGGTTGACATCATATGATGCAAGCATTTTCATCAAAATATTTGAATAGCCCACTCCAAAAATTTTTAAATCTTTAATGTTTAATGAACAGTATGTACACAGGCTCAGTGAAATTGACCAAAAATGTATCTGTGAAGCTATACCTGCTAATGTCTACTATACTTCTGAAGTTACTGTATGTTTCTATGAAATTTGGCAAACATTTAGTAAACATTACACAAAAGATCAGATGTTTTAATAAAGTATTTTTACTAAAACTTGTGAATTTCCAAAGCTTTTACTGAGTTGGGCTGAGTGTATAATTATTTTCGTGCTAAGGCTAGGAATACTTCTTATCATTTTACAGTTTTTATATTTCAATTGAATTCCCTCTGTAACTTCCTAAATTAACATCAAGTTTTTAATATCTGTTTACTTTTAATTTTATGACTTTATTGTTTTAATCTTTCCACTAAAAGCAATAAATCCCAGTGAGATGCCATTAGCTGCTTCTTGTAAAGCTAATGTAAACACCATGCAATGCTGAGTGTAATGTTTCACAGAGCTCATGAAATTTTAGATGTTTTATTTTACTGAAGTTTTGTTTATCTCAGTTGAGTAGGTTCTGATTTATATATTTTAATCACTTTGTTACAAAATAAAAAATATATATATACACCTGGAAAAAAGTTAAGCACCCCCGTGTTTTTTTCAAGTGATTCAGATTCGACGTTCTTGTGACTGATTATAAATTACCATTCAATCTAAAC